GGAGTTGGGAACAAAGGAAGAATGGGAAAAGAACACTTCAACACATCTTGGGAGCTGTTATAAGGGCTCACTGGAGAAATTGCCAGGGGATTTTAAGCAGCCTCTGTGACCTAATGGAAGGGCCATTCTGGTAGCTACTTAGGAGACTTCTTCACAGTCCAGGGGAAGGGTGCTGCATTGATCCTTCACCAGTGGCCTTGCAGAGCTATGACGAGGGGTTTTATAATGGACCAGGGATCTACAGGTGGCCTAGATAGAAAAATTCAAAGATGGTAAGCACCTGGGGTTTGTGGTTGCACTTGTTTTCATTCTACTGGATGTCAAGAGGCCTAGTTCCTCACACATACTGGGACTGAGCACCTAAGTTTTAAATTTCAGTCATTGAAGGGTAAGTAGTATTTAACCGGAGTTGAGACAGTTGGAAGCAAAACATAGGACTAGGTCTTTAACAGTGAGTTCTCTTGTGCTTGGCGGTTCTGTGTGAGATGTGTGTAGCTAGAAGATGGCATCTAGGCAAGGTGGGCATACAGTCATGACCTTTTGAGGGGATCCAATGACACTTTCCACAGGGGTCGCGTATCACATTTACATTACATTTCTAGCAGTAGCAAAATTACAGTTAAGAAGTAGAAATGAAATAATTTTATGGTTGGGATCACCACAACATGAGGAACTAAATTAAAGGGCTGCAGCATTAGGAAGGCTGAGAACCACTGATCTAGGCAGAGCTTGGGAGTAGTCTGAGTTGAAGATGGGAACAGTTAGTGTATAGACGTTTGGGTTGTGTGGGAAAAGGGAAGACAGATGCTCAGGATCCTGAAAAGATTAACTGATTTCTTACTACACCTGAGTTGTGCTGTCATCACAGTCCTCAGACTGTGATGTAACACCGAAGTGACCTCAGTATATTTTCTACAGCCAGAGGGACAACCTCTGACACAGGGCTTCATTCCCATGGTAGCAACACCAAAGCTAACTCAGTATATTCTCTACAGCCTCTGACACAGGGCATTCGCTCCATGGGGACAGTGGGGTTTCTCTGTGTGTATGCTGATATGCCCTGTGCTTATGCCCAGTCCTTCCACTACGCTGGTTTGGGATCCCTAAAGTGTGCGTTAGCCCAGATAATAGGTGCTGGGCCATTCCTTCTTTATTGTAACCTAGATCTTGAGGAAAATGTAGGGCTTACAACTGCTTTCATTATTTTTAAGTAACCAATTGAGTTAATGTATCTAAAATGTGTTTTGTAAACTAAGTCAGTAGAAGCCTTCACTTTTATTAAATTTTTCTGCTATAAGGGAAACTTCTTTTTGACGGAACCTGTATGTTAGTTTGTAGGTGGGTTGATTGTGAAGTATGATATATATAAATCTATCCTATATACTGCCTCTCTCACAAATCATCTTTTTTTTTTTTTGGTTGCTACAAAAAAAAAAAATTGAACACTCTGTTCTTGTTGCTAAGGACTCTTGAATGTCCTAGTACAGAAAATGGTTATAGAATCTGCCCCAAAGACATTTTATTTAAATTGTCTTATGTTCTCTCTTATATCCAGATATGACTGTCTGAAAGCAAATCATTTACAAAAGTAAAACTTAAGTTGTTTCAGAAGTTAGAAACAGGAACTGGGTTTCCCAGGGTAGCATGCACTACTGAGGTCCGGAGACTAGGTGATCCACATGTTCTTCCTCTGTGGCGTGCGTTGTACATGTGCACAAACGCACATGCTGCCCAGCAGGGTGTGGCGTCACAGGTGCTAAGACCTGGTCCTGCTTGTGCTGCTTCCTTCCCGGGTGATAGTAGACAAGTCCATTCTCTGCAGTAAAGTGAGTGTCCATTCGAGGATTGTTTTTAGATGTAAATGGGACAGGGCAGTGGGAAGCAAGGGTGAGTAGAGCCGTGGATGACATGAATGTACGGAAGCAGGAGAGTGAATCGTAACATGTACAGTTAATAAATGTCATAAGAAAAAAACAAATGTGACAAGCTATATGAAAAGTGCTTGGCACCGGACCCAGCAAATAGAGTCAGTAAAAGACAACTGTGGTTGTGGTTCCCATATTGTCATTTTAAGCCTCAAGTGATCTTACATTTTTGAGGAAATTGAAATTTTAACAGAAATATGGATTACTTAAAGAATAACCACTCTCCATGTTGCTAGTTATAGAAGGGTGATGGAAACCAGGTTAAAAAGAAGACGCTGCATTTTCCATTAAGGTCACTTTGGCAATGTCAGTCACTGTTACTTACAAAGATCTGTACATTTTCTCCTTCTTTCCCCCTTCCTTCCCTCCCTCCCTTCCTTCTTTGCTTCCGCTTTTCCTTACTTCTTTCCTTCTTCCTCCCTCTTTCCCTCCCTCCCTCCCTCCCTCCCTCTTTTCCTTCCTTCCGTCCTCCCTTCTTTCTTTTCTTCCTTCCTTCCTTTCTTTTTTCTGTCACTGGGTATTTTTCTCAGAGCATCATGCAGTTTATCCAGGCACTTTACCACTGGACGATAGCTTGCCCTAGTTTCTCAATTTCCTTGGTTTTAAAGGGGTAGAGAATTTAGCCTCCAGAAGTATCCAGATGTATAGGTTTTGGTTTTTGAGACAGCATTGTACTTTATAGCTATTATATTCCAAGCTGGCCTCAGACTCATCCACCTGCTTTAGCCTCTGAAATGCTGGGATTCAGCATTTGCTGCCAGCCTACATAAAACATGTATATCACATAGCACTGTCTGTAATTGAGTATAGTAAGAAATGATAGAGCAGTTCATCACACACTAAAAGGAAGTTAGAACCATTCTTAAATGATATTTAACTTCTGTTTTTTAAATAAGATTAACTGTCTTGGGTATTAATTTGGTGTCTTAAAGATATTTTATATTTTGCAAATCTAAACATAAAATCTATGCCACTCCAGTAATCTGAATTTTCCTTATTAGTATCCATGTTAGGATACTTAGCACAGGGATATAATGCAACTTCTATGTTAGACAGTAGCCTTAGAAAAATAGCATATTATAGCTGGATGTGATGGCACACACATTTATTTAATCCCAGCATTCATGAGGCAGGGGCAAGTGGATCTCTGAGTTTGAGGCTAGACTGGTCTACAAAGCTGGTTCCAGGACAGCCAGGACTGTTACACAGAGAAACCCTGTCTTGAAAAACCAAAAAGAAAAAAAAATAGCATATGTGCATCACCCCATGGAATATCACTTTACTCCTGTTCCCATATGTACTGTGTTTAGCCTAAAGAAGGAATGCTTTTAAAGAAAATAGTACCTTGAGTGCCTTGTTTAGTTCTTACTTTTCATTTAATTAAGCTTACTCATAGAAATAACAGTGTTCTGCAAGTTTCTTACACTGTCTTCTCAATTTGTGTAATCAATGGTGTTCAGCTCTGACATTCCAGCTTGTTGATATTAGACTCTAGATGGAATATTTAGAAGTCATTCTCTGGCTGGGCGTTGGTGGCACACGCCTTTAATCCCAGTAATTAGGAGACAGAGGCAGGCGGATCTCTGTGAGTTCGAGGCCAGCCCGGTCTACAAGATCTAGTTCCAGGACAGCCTCCAAAGCAATACAGAGAAACTCTGTCTCAAAAAAAAAAAAAAAAAAAAAAAAAGTCATTCTCTGGTCTTAATAGACCCAGTTCAAACCATTGTATGCATTAGTATTGAATCCCTGCTATGGGCTTTAGACAAAGTTCTTCCCCACTCCCTAACTCAGTTTCTTTGGTGGAGTAGTATCATCGTGGGACCTGTATAAGTAGCTGTCTTGATAAAGTGAGAACACAGGACAGAGAAACTACTCAGTAATGTGCCTGTACCCCATTTCAGATTCATGGCTGTTTATATGCAATCAGTATAAAAGATACTTTAAAGAAAATGCTAGCAATAGCCATTTGTAAATATTAGAATACTAAAGGCCAACTAGCCTGTCTTACTTTTTTGCTAGTTACTTATTTTTGGGGGACTAGGGATTGAACCCAGGGTCTTGCTAGGCAAGCATTCCACTATTGAGGTACATCCTCAGATTCCTTTCTTTTGTGCCCCACTTAGTTTGATCTGATAAAATATTTGTCAAGTTAAAATGTGTTGGTGGCACACACCTTTAATCCCAGCACTGGGGAGGCAGAGGCAGGCGGATCTCTGTGAATTTGAGGCCAGCCTGGTCTACAGAGTGAGTTCCAGGACAGCCTCCAAAACAATACAGAGAAACCCTGTCTCGAAAAACAAACAACAACAACAAAAATGTGCTATCTATTGAAATACTTACTCAAAATTGATTATCTTAGAGTTTTAAAAATTTAGATTCTGGGTCTAAACTTTGGGCCGGTTCCTAACAATATGGAATGGTTGGACATTTTTATATTTAGCCATATTTACAAGAAATGAAATTACTTTGCATTTTCATGTATATGCCCATAGTTTGGTTTTCACTATTCAAAAACAAAATAGAACTGATCTCCTGCCCTATTCTGAAAATCAGACTACAATTACTGTCTGAGCTTCTGTGTTTGTACCCAAGTCAGTATGGTGGAATCAGGATGTAAGAGGTGATTGGGCCCCAAAACAGTTAGAAAACCATTTTCTTTGTATGTCATGGTGGTAAAACAGATAGTATTACTCTCTGGTGGTGTCTCTGCACCTTTCCTATCTGGTTTAAAGGACTTGGGACCAGCTGACTGGAATAGAATCCATATTTAAGCAAATAAAAGCATTGCTACAACTTTGTAAATTACTAAGCACATTTCATATTCTTTCAGATTGTTCTCAATCATGGTAGAGTTCACCTTTAATCATTTTATTGTGTTAATGTATTCATTGAGTACATTTTAATAGCTCTACCACACCTTGTAATAACTTGATGCATTCATTGTATTTCAGCCCTTTGTAAAGACCTCAGCCTGGTTTGATTTCTTTCTCAGTGGTATAGGCTCCTGAGAGGTCTCTGGGCTTTTTACTGTAAGTCCTAACAGATAAGCGAGTGATGACTGTCTCTTTGTTGCAGATATGCCAATATTTGGTCTCTGTCCGGCTCATGATGATTTCTACTTGGTGGTGTGTAACGACTGCAACCAAGTTGTCAAACCGCAGGCATTTCAATCTCATTATGGTAAGTGCTGGATCATGAAAACCATCAGGAGGGAAAGGTAAAGCTGCATGCATTACTGAAGGCTGGTCTGTGATAGTGCAGGGAGGTTATCCTCACAGTCACTTAGAGGAAGTAGGCATTCCAATTCATAGAAAGAGCTAAAAGCTGGTGTTTGGGTTTCCTGAATTTTTTATTTTTATTTTCTCGTCTGCATTTTCTGGCTTTTCCTGAAATCTGAGGAGAGAGTATCTCTTTAAACTTTACATCAATATTGTTATAGGTTTCTTTCTTTCTTGAGTCCTTGGTTGTGAATTTAGTAGATGTTTCTGTTTGATTTGATTTTTGGCTTTTTGAGACAGATGTAGCCCTGGCTGTCCTGGAACTTGCTTTATAGAGCAGGCTGGCCTTGAACTAGGAGAAATCTGCCTGCCTCTGCCTCTCAAGTGCTGTGATTAAAGGTGTGTGCCACCTCACAGAAGACTGGATTCAGCCTTTGAAGCCTGGACTAGATTGGACTTAAATTTAAACCCGTGAGAACAACAGGTTCTTTCTTTGCCTTGAGCAAGTGACCCAGCCTTACTTTGCTTTTTGCTGGACAGGGAAAAGTGGCCACCTCAGCCAGTGCTCCTGCTGGGACTGTGGAAAGCATGTGTAAAGCCACCAGCAGTGCTTAGCAGAGCCGGGGGGGGGGGTTAGAGAGGACAAAGGTCCAGCTCCAGACACAAGAAGGTCTATGTCTAGAGTTAAAACAGTCCGAGGCCTTAAGAAAAAGGAGGAACACATTGGCCACCAGTGCAGTGAGAAACTGAGAGCCTTCTTAGAGAAAATAGCCTTCAAATGAGGATTTGAAAAGTAAAGTCATTTGTTCTCTGTGTGTAGGTTTCTGTTTTTAAGCGTGCTATATAAACCTGTTCTGGAAAGTGCAGAAGGTAGTTTGTAATGGCCTTTAACCCCTGAAACTGGAAGTGTTTAGATGAGACTAGACAAGGCTCCCACGGACAGCTGCACAGCTTATTACTGAATGACCATGTTTGGTGGGTCCAGGCCGGTTTCAGAGTGACATGAGTAAGCTCTGAGCTAAGAACATCCAGGCTGTCTGGAATGTGCTAGACTGTTCTCATTGGCCAGAACTGTTGTACGCATTTGTGGATGAGCCCTGTACAAAAGTAGGCTGGAAGTAACTCACAGGCCTTTGTTTTGTGTTAATGGAGACTTGTTACAGATACTCAGAGCCAGAAGATGACTTAGTGATGCTTCCGGGAACTGATGGGTAGACTGGGTTAGAAAAAAGCACGAGAGAAACTGTAAACATGCTGCTTCCTGTAGAACGTTTTTAGGCTTAAAAGGGTACTCTTTGTCATCTTCTAGGACTGCTTTACCGAGTGATGGCCTCACACTACCCAGTTCCCTGTCTAGGGATGCAGGATCAGAATGGGGAGCTGTCACCTAGAGCAGGAAGCAGCATAGATGTAGTTTTGAAGCCATTCTTTTAATGCTAAAGTTATACACAGATTTACTTCTAATCTTCCTGTGCCTACCTCTGTCAGTCCCCAGTGCTGTGACAACAAAGATCCTGAGCATGAGGCTGAGGTCCCTCTAGTGGCAAGGGAAATATTACAGAGTAGGAGAGGAGAGGTCCTGGCAGAGGAAGTGTCCTGGAGGCCTGAGTCAGCAGCAGAAGAGAGTGCTGGTGGAGTTAGGAAGGGTACCAGACAGATGAGCACGGGGCAGGCATCACAGTGAAGCCCCGAGGAGGATGCCGAGCTGTTCGCCTGGATGGGAGGGGTCCCCGGGGTCCCCGGGGCCAAGGAGCCACCCTCGGTGCCGCCCTGTCACTTCTTTGTGTGCTGGAATTGTGAAAGGAAAAGTAGTTTTGGAAACCATTCTTCCCTCCTGCCCTTTCTCCTTCCTTTTTTGATGAAATTCCAGGAGGAAAACTCTTGCATTCTCTTTCTATTCTATTTTTTATTGTTAGTAACTATGGAAAACATTTTTTTTCAAAACCAGAAGCTTGCTAAGTGGCCATTGTCGTTTGTTTATTGCCGTTCAGATGCTCTTAACTAATAGTGGGGCTGCATATGACAAGCCACTGCAAGTTGAGAACTCTACATGTTGGAGATGCATTTTAATCCTTCTAACTTAGCAGATCTAGTTGATGGATTCAGTCACCAAGAGCAGCTTTCCCATGAGGCTGTGGCTGGCTGGGAGCTGTGGGCTGCTGCTGTCACTCAGCATCAGGAGTGGGCCTGGAAAATGGTCAGAATTCAGAATTCACACCAGAGCTTCTGCTGACTGTCTTCACACCACCTTGTGGTCAAAGAAGTCATTGAAAGAATCTGACTTTTCCCTGGCTGTAGGAAAGCCACTCGCTGCTCCGGTCGGGCATGATCATTGCTGCCGTCTGCCACCTCCTCTCCCCTGCAGTGGTGATGAGTCTTCTTACTTACTGCTCCTCGGCTGTGTTTGAGTGCTTTGATTCATTCCTGTAGATTCCAGCATTGGGAGGCAGAACTTGTCTTTAAAAAAAAAAATCCCACACCTGCCAATGGAGTGGGTTTAGCTTTTGATAAAAACATATTAGTAATTTTTGTGAATTCCTGTGTTGGCTTGTATTGACCTGTGATAAAAAACAAACAGGCAGTTGCCGCAAAACCCTACAGGTAGTTCTTTGAAAACAGCCAGGACAGGAAAGGGCACCACAGTGTAGCTCGTAAGTTAAGTCACTTAGGTTGGTGATAAGGGTGTTGAAGAAACTGATGAGCAGCCCATTGGTGCCCAGAGAAGTGGCCATGTGATTTTTGCTAGCAAACTGCCTTTGGGGGAAATATCTGACTAGTGATGGTGACGGCTATAGTGTCACTGTAGTGTCCCCGGCTCCGTATTCTGACTGCTCTCATGGTATAACCTGTTTTCTTTCTTGAAACTGTATAGTAATAATGATGTATGTTTTCTTGACGGTGCTGTAATGTTTTGAAATACTCCAGCATTCCTCGTGTTTACCTTCAGTTAGTTACTCAGTATTTTTAAGCATAAGGTGTTTCTTATGGTTCATATCAGATTTTAAATATATGAGTCAGTGGATTCAAAAAGCCTGTTCTGCGTCTGAATCAAGGGAGCTCTTTTCTGAGTAAACTGCTTCCCCGAACCCACTCCTGACTTAACCGCATGGAGTCTTGGCTGCTCATGATATGCTTGCGAATGGGTGGTGCTCCCTGCTCTCACAGGCACTGTCCACTCTAGGACTGATACAGGTTCACAGGGGCTAACCTGCCACTGGCGCACACCTACGCAGACTTGTTGACTCTAGCAGTGGTACAGAGCAAGGAGGCCCTGTTGTAAAAATCTATTTTCAAGTCCTTGTATCATGGCTGGCCGTGTCACATTAATTGCCACTGAAATTGTAAACACGAACAAGGAATAACATGGTAACTTTCTCTAAAACCAAAAGCGCCATTCTTTTGAAGTGGCAATCTTAATGTGTTAGTGATGTGTTGGCTGTGCACTGCTACTGGATAAAACATGGTCTTACACATAACTTGTCTGTGAATCTGCACAGGTAGAGAGAGAGAGTGTAGCTAGGGAGGGTTTATAGCCTGCTTACGGGATTGCACGCCTCCCTCTGGCTAGTCCCCACTGCCCTGTGCTCTGCTGGTTACCCGTGTGTTTAGGAAGAGGGTCTTGGCTCTTCTACACCTCCACCACTACCACCTTTATACAGACATTGAAGAGATCTTACATAACAGAAATAAATGAGAGATACTAATTCGTCCTGGACAGGTACCACCATATTTAGAATCTCTATAATTAATTAAACCCTGATCAAATGTCAGCCCTTGGAGCATTTTGCCTTAGATTGGTTAGGCTGATCCACTCATTAACCTTTGGGGTCAGCTTGACTCTCTGAGCCTGGGCATGATAGTGACTTGTGACTAAGTCATTCATTCCCAGTATTAATCAGGTTGGAGCTGATGAAATTTGACTTATTTACTGACTTAATTTTACTTATACTTTAAACAGAAGGAGCCTGACTGGCTAGGAGTAAAGGGGTAATAGCAAGGGTTACCCACATACGGTATGGTTTAGCCACAGAATTGAAAGAGGTTTGGAGCGTGACTTTGTTTCACTTATGATTAATGTTAATAATGTTAGGGGTGAAGTATATTCCATGTTTTGGGATACATCAGCTTAGCTATTGGATTTTATTTCCTTTGATGACTTAAGAGTTGAGCCCTTGGAAAAAACAGACGTTGGAAGCAGAATTCTAGACTCTTCTGTTGCTGTGCAAAAGGCTCACATGCTAATACCTTTGTCATCCATCAGTTGCTCGCATTAAGTCACTGCAAGTGGAATATGAGTCCATTGGTCAGGCCTTACTGTAAAACTTGCTCACAAATGAAAGCCATAACCTGGCCAATTCCTGGCTGCATGGATAGGCGTTTATAGGAACACCTCACAGCTTTCCCTTGTATATGATGAATCTTGCCCTTAATGATTTGTTGCTTTGGATTTTGTGGGCGCCAGCATAAATTACATTCAGGAGAAATCACTCTTGGTTTCTTGTGCTAATTAGTTGACTTCAGAGAATATTACTGTAGAAGTTAAGCGGTTCTTACTCTGATCTGTTGTGCTAGACCCGGTTGGTTTAATGCTGGTTTTCACTTGATAAATTGGACAGGTGTTTGTGACCAGCTGTCATGTGACTGTGGTAGCTGGAGCAGAGACTGTACATGACAGAGGGTTTGGTATTTCATAGAGAGCAACAACCCCTCTTCTCTGACACTTGAATTAGAGTGTCTTTATGTCTTATTTTATTTGAATATTTTGATTTTTTTTGAATAAGGAAAAATGTTTCTTAAGTGGTAATTTTTTTTGACAAGGAATTGTTATAGTCTGTGTCTTTTTCTACTTTTTTTTTTTTTTTTACGAGACAGGGTTTCTCTGCATTATTTTGGAGGCTGTCGGTCCAGCCCGGCCTCGAACTCACAGAGATCCGCCTGCCTCTGCCTCCCTAGTGCTGGGAT